TACAAGATTTGTAATTTCATTAGTTGTGTCATATTCGAGTCTATTACATTATTAATAGCTCCTGCTGACATAAAATATGTAGCATATGTTTTTCTTCCAACAATTAATATCACTTTTGGAGCAAACAAAAGGGTATACTATTTATTACACAAATCAAGTAGCCAATGCTTCAAATCAAACAGTGTTCCTGAGTGGCTTTGACCATTGATTGACATGTAAAAACGATGAAAAAAAAACACATTTTATTTTCCATTGATCAAAACTAAAATCATTTTTATTTAAGCACAAGGCAAACTGCACGTTCTCAGATACACGTTGCTTTTTATAAAAGCAATGTGGTAAGAACCCCCTTAAAAATGAGATGCTACATCTCAAGGGGTTGTCATTGAAGTAAATTAACAAAAATATAAATAAAATAACAGATGGAGGGGAAAAATTACAGGATTTGTGGAGTTTATTTGAACATACTGCTTTGCATCATGGGAAAAACTGTGCATCTTTTCTGTATTTCCTGCAGCACAGCAATTTCTGATTAACTGTGATTTCTCATGTCAATGTGGATCAATGATTCTCTTGTATAAGCTCAAAAACAAAATGAGCGCACCTGCAATGTAGAATTGGGCAAACTCATAAAAATACTGCTTTCCAAACTCAAGTATCAATTCAATTTTGTGGCTTGAGCATTTGATGTTGCAATGAAAAACTGTAATGAGACAGCCATGGGATTAAGGATGAAAACACACTTACCACTCTTTATGCATTCAAATATTCCAGCAGTACTCTGCTTTCTAAATTTTTGACTTATGTGGTGAAGCATGATGAGTTTATTAAGGGACAGTAAAAATATATTCTCTATAACATAATAAGTGAATATAGTCTTTAATGAAAATTACAGGAATACTAATCCCTGGACATTTTGACCACTGTAATCACTAAAAACAGACAATTTACATATTCTTTGGTAATTACTGGCCCCAGTACTATCATTTTTAAACTCTAAAATGAAAGTGAACAAATTTACGTAAATAAGCCACACTACCACCCAAACACAGAGAGATAATTGTTTAAATATTACCAATAGTTTTGTGCATATTTTTAAATTTCCTGTCAACTTTTAGCACTTTTAAACAAAAACAAAAACAAAAACAAAAAAAAAAGTGGTACATTGGTGTACTACCTCTACCACCACACTTAGGTTTTCTGGGGTAAACCCTGGACTGTATAAAGATTTAATGTAGAACTGGCAGATGTACTAGTCAGAGAGCTGAACTCATTAACTTGTTTAGTTAAAATGCACAGAACACTAAAACCTCTCTTTGCCCAGAGATTTTGCAAAGGATTTCATTTTTCTGGAGTATTTAATCTGTTTTTGTCAAACTAACAGGTGGGGATTGATGTTACTTCAGTGATAGCCATCTTCCTGGTGATTGAATCAAATACCGAATTAACAAAAAGCTACAAACGTAAGAGCGAAGCTAAAAAAAAAGTAGTGGAGTATCAGTCAGCATTCTGGAGTAGAGGAAGATTCTCTATTGAGTGGAGGCATTTCTACAATTATTGAACTTTATGAACTTCATGTAAGATATGGTAGATATTTCAAAAGCTTTATATTAAAACTAGTTTTTTTATGTAGTCCCTGATCATCATGCTATTTTGAAAATCTGGACCTGAGCTCACTTGTCCTGACACACAAGTAGTAATAATGGAAAAGGAGGTTAAAACATAATCAAAGAGGTTGAACAAAAGAGAAGAATGCATACGAGAGGACACAGGAATCTGAGCAATCAGGAGTTAGTGGAGAAAAAATGGTGAAAGACACCTCCTACGTGCATATCGCAATGCTGTAGAACATGATAGAGGTATCTGTTGGCAAACGATGGAAAATAAGGGGTGCCAATAATCTTAAATAAAAAATAAATCTTAATGTGTGATATTTTCCACTCATTGATAAACCGTGCTTGAGCAAATTAATGTCTTTTCCTTAACGTTTATAGTGAAATTATCATGCTGCAATAAAAGATGGCCTTATTGAACCTTCTAAGGCTTTTTCACATCTTTACAATTGGTGAACTTGACAGCAGAAAGTACAGTAAAGATTTCAAAAGATATGAAGAAATTGAAATCAAAATTGGGATAGGGACTGAATTTGAATAGTATATAGCCACAGAGATACACAATTACTGCAAGAACTGTAGTGGACAATGGAACCTTTTTCGGATTTTAAACACAAAATCTGCATACATTAAGAAAAACTGATATTGTGATAAATTCTGTGATGACAATATTTTTGTCACCATTTTCCTTCATCATGTCTTACCATTTCTGGTGTGCTTTAACATCATGGCAACTAAAAATATACATTGAGTGTGTGCATCGAGTGCATTGACAGTTTCTCTACCAGCCGGGAAACATTATTGGCAGGCAAAAAAATATGTAACACTTGAAAATATGACATGTTTTCAGCAATCACAATAAAAATAGTCTTTTGCAATTGCGATATTGCAGACATTGATGTTGCTGACAATGCAATCTCAAAATTAATTTACATTTAGATTCAAACCTCTGTGATAAACGGTCTATTCTATCGACAATAATGGTTAGCATGAGGCTTGCAAATACTATCAGCAGCAGAGTTAAAAAGAAAAAATAAAGGACAAGGGATTGTATACTGTGTATAAACAATACAGTTCAATAGAGAAGCTAAATAACATTTTATGTAATAAACTAATATCATTCAGTCATTAATTTTGAGTGTTAATAAAAATAACACAGCCAAGTATTATGTCACGGTAACAAATAAATGAAATAAGAGGCTACAAATACAGGGCTTGAAAAAAACAACAGTTGATTAAAACAAAAGCAAAAGCTTCTTGACATTTTACCAATTTGGTTTTTTGTGCAATTAATTGAGTTTGTGTTTACAGTTCTAAAATGTGTTTGCCAAGAAAAATCTAATGCGGTTAATGTGACTAATAACCGGCTTATTAGTCATATTAGTAATGTGACTAGGAAATGATTTCTTGCAAAACTTGAGTCTAAGCTGATTGCTGAGAAACTGCTGTCTTAATTCATTAATTTTATTAACAGACAAGATGTACTGAGTAACACCGTCCATACCTGATTGATAACTTCATGATTCAACTATGGGTTTACAACATTCAAATGGCAATACAAGCCTCAGTACCACATAATACAAAAAAGTAAAGTTTACAGTAAGCATAATGACAGAGACTTAACTTCTGTAGTTTGTACCTTCAGGCAAGAAATGAGCTTTGTACTGGCATGTGATTGTAGGTGGGCTACTGGCTATAATAAAATCGTATACTTACACATTTTGGTATGTCAACTGTACCATCCATTATCTTTACAAAAACAGAAACACTCGTTTCAGGTTAGAAAATCATGTAGATCTCCTGCGGGAGGAAAACGAAAGCTATAACTGGCCACAACAAGACCAGTCTAAAAGCCAATGAGGAAAACCTAATTCCGATTCCTTTGTGTTTCTCTCAGTAATCTTAATAAAATGACCAAAATCACAGGTTTTTGAGATGTTGGAAATCATTAGATTGAGTCAAATCTTGATATTATAAGGTCATAACTGCTACCAAGCGACCACCGTCGAAGAGCCAGGTCCCAAATGTTAGGCCATAGGGCATAGACTACTGCTCGGGTTTCGTAATAGAAATGCCATCCATAGTAAAACAGAAAAACAACGATAGCATCCGCGTTTAATACATTGGCGTTCAACATTTCAGACAAATAAGTAGCGTCTTAGCTAACTGAACAATTTGATGTATTCTTAGCCAACGGGTTCGTCTGAGTGTGCGCCACCATCACCGTGACGGCGTCACCGTCTCCCATAACACAAGACAGTCGATGGGAAAACAAGCGTTAGGCTGCTCTACACAGTACTCGCATAGACATTCCTTGGGCGAATTGAAGAGTAATTGTCACTATCCGTGGGCGAAACAGGCAATAGGTGTCAGGCAGATGAACGTTTTAGGTGCGGTTATTGTGTCTTTTGACACACAACTGCAAAACTAGCTTTAGCTAGCAAGCTAGCTACTCAGAACAGGCCGCCGAGCAAGAGAACGGTATCTGTGGGCGCCGGGCATCTTTACTACCGGCGAGGCATTGACATCACTTTTACCCCATCTTTTGCCCTCTATTAGCTCGGATTCCTGAAGCATAACGCCTGGCAAAACAGTGTTGTAAACAACGGCATTTACCTGTGTTTCTCAGGTTGCCAGGGCGCGCGGGATCTTTCTCTCCGAGGATCCTGAACACCTCTCGTTATGGATGACGTCACGCGTAAAAGTCCTTGCTTGAGGACGTAAAGACTGTGCTGCACATTACAAATAAACTTTGCTGTTAATGTTTTTCTACAAAAAAAATGGGCATGAATACCATTTTGGAGATTATCTATACCCTTAAAACATCATGATGATTATATTTTTGTTTACTTTTTTCCTGTCTTTACTATGATATTCACCGATGAGTTGTCTTGACAAATATGTTATTTTCTAGAGATTACCAAATGCTCAAAATGTTTTTTTTTATTATTTTTTTATTTATTTTTTACCCCAGCTTTTTTCATTTTGTTAGCATGAAAAACAAAATTCTGCTCCATATGTCATAAAAGCCATTGCGATGTGAACTGTTTATTTTTTTTAAAGATGGGCAAGACATGTCAAAGATAAAGATGTTAGTTTTCAACATGAACATGGAGGGCAATAAAACAACATTACAATAAACACAAATCAGTGGTTTATTTACAGTATCGGGAATTTGAATGATATTTCTGTCTATGAGTAATAAAAACGAACGATATTCTACATCATTTACATTTTTAGAGCACATAACCAGCTGTAAAAGATGTGGAAACACAATGTGGGTACAAGGGTCATCATTCCAACCATTTTATCCACTCGCATGTTGTGCACTTCGACTCCAGACAGAGGGGTGGCGGCAATACTGCAGAAAATTGAAGTGACTGAATTTAAGGAGGTAGAAGAAGAATAGGCAGCAAACACCCGGAAGTCAGTCTGAAGGTCTTGTGTTTTGCGTTTAGGTAATACGGCTGTGGATAAGAACTTGACGTGAAAATGGGCGTTAAAATAGAGATGTTCAGAGTAAGTAAAAGTATCGAAACTAACCAAAAATATTTCAGTCTGAAGTTTTACCTTTTAAGATGAAGAAACGTTTTTCTTTGTCAGTTTACGATGCAGGTAGATGATGTTTACAAGTTTACAGCATTCTCTTCTTCTGATCACTTTCTCTTGGCTAGATGATGCTCTATTTATCTTTTCCCGTGACCATGTTTTGGATCTCAAACCAGGCGGAGTACTTTGAGGAGTATATCGTTAAGAGAAAGGTCAGCCATTTCTCCTGTGTTGTTGTTTTAATGTTGCATACTAATCCTTCTGAAATTATTCTATTAATTCATGGTTCTATTTTTTATAATTAATATTTATTTTCATACTTTGATTCTTTTATAATTCCCAGAGGGAAATCTTCCCACCGGACGAAGAATCACGGGTGAGATGCACAGAGCTGATGTTTATAGGGTCTTTTACTTAGTAAAATGCAGAAAACAAGATTTTCTTTTTACATTAGATTTTGTTTTTAGAGTAATAATCAAAGAAAAAAAAAGATTTTAACTTATAAACAATACACAAATTAGGTTTTTAATTGGTAATTAAATACTTATTACATGTTATGCCATGTTTTTTGGTTCATCTTCACTTTTAGCTGTTTTTTTTTTTTTTTTTTTTTTTTAAATAATGAGGTACATCCTGTTCACATTTTGTCTCTATGAACTTCTGAATACCACAATAATTCTACTATCATTTGTGTTACATTTTTTGTTGATTTTTTTTTTCAGAGAAAGGAGTTGGAAGACTTTAAAGAGCGGATGCGCGTTCGAAGGGAGCAACAGATATTAAAAAAAATGTCTGAAAACTGAAGATTTTGTGTTCAGGAAATTTTTTTTCGAATGTTCAGTGTAAAAACAAATTTCTGGCAATATTTGCTTGAGGAAAAGAGATTGCTTTTATCTGGCATGAGACAACAGAACGACCTGCAAGACTAATGCAATCTGAAGGTGTGCATGGCAGTTGTCAAGGATTTGCCTGATGTTAAATTTATTAATGACATATTTTATACAAGATTTCTTTATGTTTTAATTGTTCTTTTTTCTTTGGGTACATACTATGTTATACATAGTTTTCTGGAGCTGCTTTTTTTATGTGTGATGCAGATTAAACAAATACTCTTAATGTATTTTACCAACTTTGTTATTTTATTTTTGCCTGGTTTGATCAAGGATCATTTTAAAAGGAAGAAAAAACAAACAGAATTTGTAGGATGATTTATTATTAAATCAGTTGACATTCTTGAAGTGCCGTGGTTTTCTGCATCACTTTTTCAAGTTGCAGTTCACAAAAAGACTGCAGCGTATGTGTTTTTTAAATTTATGGCTACAATGTTATTATCCAAAGATTTAGGAATCTTTCCAGAGATGCTTGTACTCTTTTATAATTCAAGTGTGTATATTCAGTTGATTTTATTGTCTTGTGAATTTGGTTTACAAAGATTTAACTTAAGAAGGACTGAAAAAATTAAATCAAAAGGTGTAAACCAATATATACCATATATTGCCAAATGATTAGATCAGCAAAGTTTGGATAAATCAGTATTTAAAATAGCTAAAGAAGAAACAGTCTAAGATTGTTTGAGCTATTGAGAACTCTCTTTCTATTTTTGTTTGTTTCACTCATCAGTTTTAAAACTCATATATGTCACAACTAAACTTTTCACCCTGCAACATTTTTACTTGATGATTGATGTGTTGCACTCTTATTGGTTACAACTTGTTTTAAGAAGTACTTTAAGGAGCTTTCGAGTTTTGGCATGCTTTGAAATGACACCATGAGCCAGCTTCCATCCATCAATTTTCTGCACATCCTTGTCCTAGTGGGATGAGGAGGAGTGCTGGTGTCTAGCTCCAGCAAACGTTTTGGGCGAGAAGTGGGGTACACCCTGGTCAGATCGCTAGTATGTCGCAGGGCATGAGCCAACTTACAGTAGCTCAATAAGCTCTCCAGGATGAATACACTAGAGATAATTGCGATTCCTTTTCAAGACAGTCTTACATTTTGGATGTGTTCTCACAGCTATAAACAGCTGAAGATCTTATGGTGAAAAGGTGTTGACATGTGTTTCCCAAAGCCCATTGGATGATTGCCTTGACACATTTGGCAGATAGAAGTATCCAGAAATATATCTCAGTTTGTAAACTTATTTTGTGCACCTGTTCATTTTTTTTTTTATTTTGTTTTGCTCTAATACATTTTGAAAATGAGACTTACTTGCATGATGGTATTATAATATAAAAGGCAGATCACCATTAAATATATTGTTTAGCTTTCTTTTTATTTTTATTTTTATATATTTTCCTTTTAAATGTTAGTTTATGAGAAACTGACATTTGATACTTGCTCATGAAACAGCCTGATTTTGTTGCACCATCATATTGTAATAATAGTAACCGACATTAGGTGGCAATGTTGAGCTTTCTACAGCAAAGCTCTTAACATGAGGAAGTGACTGACTTTAAAGTACACTCCTTGTCAAGATGGCACCGAGTGGATTGAAAGCGGTAGTTGGAGACAGTAAGTAAAATATCGGTCATAACTTATGAAGTTTGAGCTTTGTTAAAGTTGGTACAGGTAGTTTAGGTCGTTTGTTTGTTGTTGTTGTTTTGTAGCATATTCAAGACTTGCATAATAGAACTGTTTTCAGACTGTTGTTGTACCAGCCGCCTCTTCCTGTTTTGCTCCAATTAAAACCCTTCTGCTGAAGAAGGAAATAATATTAAGACGTGGGTAAAAGGTGCTATCGTGACTCAGGTAGTTAACACCTTTTTTTTTGTTTGTTTGTTTTCTGTTACTGTTGATATCTTTGAAAAATAAAAACTGCGACAGCAGAAGTCGCCAAGCTAACACCTGCTAGCTTATGTAAAAGGAAGTTCGCCAACTTTGAAATGAATTTAATCATAAGAGATATTTTAGGCGTCAACCTAGTACATGTTAACAAGAACACACGTTTTTAAGCATATTTTCCAGGGTATGCCAATCTTAAGTTAACAGCAAAATTACTACTTTCACTAACGTTGGTAGGTGGAAATTATTTTGTGTTGTGTTTCAATAATCCCAATGTTTTATTTACTGCATGGTTATATTCTACAAGCAGAAATGTTTATGCACTAAATTCTGCTAATTCTATAAGTCACTTAAAACTAGTCTTCGTTTTGAAGTTATCCTTAAAAATAGCTGAAATTTAACGTAGACATTTTGCTTCTTTAATTTGTCATTTTAAGTAGTATAGTGATAAAATTTTTTGACGAACACATAGTTCGCACCCCTTTCTAAGATAAAAATATAAGCTTAATTCAGTGGTAGAGATTCAAACACCGCTCTGAGATGAGTCTCTCTCTCTGTCTCTCTCTCTCTCTCTCTCTCTCTCCTTCTCTTTCTCTCTCGCTCTCTGATTTATCGATAAAAACACTTGCTGACAGCTGTATGCAGTGTTTCACAGTTCCCTGCATGGCGAATTGTACGATTATGATGATGATAAAGAGTTGTATTTTTAGTAATCATCATTGAAGAGAACTGATGTTTGCTTTAGTAATACATTTTTGGACCTCACTGATCGTGTTATTTACATCAGCAATTTAACTGATGGAAAACTTGTACTATTTATCACTAAACAGAAATTCATTATGCATTGTTTCTTAATGATACACAATGTTATGATACCTGTGTGATGGGTATTGGGACAAATCCTCCAATTTACTCTTCCATGCATCAAAAAGCAGTTACAAAATTGAGGTACAACAGAAAAACTCACTAGGTGGAAAAATTCTTATCACAGACATATTACTTTAAATATTTAACTTTATTTACTTGTTTAGGATGATGCAACAATTTTTGGTAATTTATGGATGTTTTGTCAGTTCTTTGATATTAGGTTAAATTTGTGCTATGTATATCTTTTTAATAGTTGTTTTTCTTCTGCAGAAATTCTCACTGGGGTCATCAAGAGCGTAAAGAAAGAAGGCGAATGGAAGGTAATAAGAATTCAGAGATACATTGTTTTCATACCCGTTTTGTGATACTGACCTGTTCTATTTCCATCCAAAGGTCTTAATTGTGGATCACATGACCATGAGAATTCTGTCTTCATGCTGCAAGATGTCGGACATTTTGGCTGAGGGTGTGACTAGTACGTTTGCAGACTTGTGTCTTATAGTGCTATCTTAATGCTTTGTACCATTGTACCAACCCACTGACCAGGGCATCTAATCGATTCACAGACTTTTCTGAATCACTATTGAATTGGAAAAAAAAAATATATTACAATGCATTGATGACCTCCCCTCCCCCAGTGGCATGTAATTATTTTCCTTTCTGATTTTCAGTTGTGGAAGATATCAACAAACGCAGGGAGCCAATTGCAAGTTTGGAGGCCATCTATTTGATTACACCAGTGGAGAAGGTAACTTTTTTTTTTTGTTGGAAGTTTTTATGAAATTACTTGTCTTGCTCAAAAATCTTTAAAATATTCTATTTTTTTTTCCAATTGCAGTCAGTTGATGCCCTAATCAATGATTTTAAAGATGCAGCATTTACTTACAAAGCAGCACACATTTTCTTCACTGACAGTAAGATGCAAGCATTTGAATACTGGACACTTATTATTCTGAGATGTATTACAGTAATACCTGACATAACAATAAATATGGAGTTTAAAATAACCTCTTTTGTTAACATTTCCTGTTTCTCATAGCCTGTCCTGACAATCTTTTTGCTAAGATTGGGAAATCCAGAGTTGCCAAGTTTGCCAAGACTTTAAAAGAGATCAATGTTGCATTCCTGCCCAATGAGTCTCAGGTCAGCACTTAAAAAAAACAAAACTTAATTATTGTACACATTTTTTTATTTTGTTACCGATGTAACTAATTCTTATTGATTTACAGCATGTTTAAGTTTCTTTGAAAAGTCATTTTCTTTTATTTATTAAATGCTGTTCTGTTCCTCTTAGTCTTTGTGTTTGGTGTTAGACAACAACCATATTTTCTGGTTTTTATGTTTTTATAGCTTCAAATGAAGTTAATTGTGTATTTAAAAAAAAAAAGAAAAAGGAAAATTAATTGACTAGCAGACCATACACTTGAGATATAACTTTTAAAGTTGATTGTATTTTTAAGCATGGGTGATAAATAGCCATACTTATTAACTGACTTACAATATAATGCAAATTAATCCTGCAACTGCAACTAATTTTTTATGTAAATGGTTTACTTGTCCATTTAATGCAAACAAATTTACATAAATATAAATCTGTTTAATCCCTGCAGGTATTCTCCCTGGACGATCCAACTTCTTTGTCCTCATTCTACAGCAAAGAGAAAAGCAGTGATATAAACAAAATGATGGAAAATGTTGCAGAACAGATTGCAACACTGTGTGACACACTCAACGAGTATCCTGCAATCCGATACCGCAAGTATGAAAAACATACTGCACAGAATTTTAAAACTAATTTGTCTCTTAATTTGCCTGCTGATTGAAGGTGTGTAATAATTTGCTTCTCCAGGGGACCGGAAGAAAACGCTAAACTGGCTGAAGAGATCTACCAGCGCCTTAATGCTCACAAAGCAGACAACCCAAAAATGGGGGAGGTTAGGAAATATATTCAGTAGTTTTCCATCTTCAGCCCTTGACTTTACTTTGATTTTTGTTTTTATTTTTCTGTTTGTTTGTTTTTTGTTTTTTTTTAATACAAGCTTCGCTGAATCTTTTCCCTCTTACTCTTCTATTTTCTGTCTTTCTTAGCTCACATTTCCTTTCTTTCAGGATGGGTCTTAACAGGCATGTATTACTGCTCTCTTTTCTCTTTTTGCCTCCACATATAAAGTGAATTTGATAAGCATGCCATGTAACTATCTGGTTTGCTTTCATTGATGTCAAAAGTGCATGTTTGCTTAAATATTAGCTCATGTTGAGCTGCAAAAACATTTGAAAGCATGACTTGTTTATTTATGTTTTTTAAATAAAAGGGTCCAGATAAGGCACGATCCCAACTGCTGATTGTTGATCGTGGGTTTGATCCCATCTCACCTGTTCTGCATGAGCTGACCTTCCAAGCAATGGCTTATGACTTGCTAGATATCAAACAAGACATCTATACGTATGTCAGCATTTTACTTTTTCCCCTAATAA